GCAACAGTCATCGTCGGGGCGGAGGATCCTAGATCCTACAAGGATTAGGAGGGGAGGCCCCCTTTCTCCTCCCTCATGTTTCCTTCCCCCCTCCTCTTCCGCCCCTGTTCCTGTTCCTTCACCTCCTCCTCGCCTGGGCGAAGGCCGTCGAGGAGCTCAGTTGCCTCGCCGACCTCACGGCCCACGTCGAGGAGACGCCCCCTCCGAGGGAAGGCAGGATCGAGGGACATCGGCAGGTTCGAGGCTTTCGGGGCGTCTCTGTCGTACCCCCCTCGCCGCCGCCCAGGGGAGAAAGGATCGATAGGGGATCGAGGATCTCCAGGCTTCTGGGGCGTCTCCAACTTGTGTATGATATATATATATATACACACAGGACTGCATTAGCAGTTCGCGCCATGCGCGTTGCTCCGGACCCTCCCCGGCAAAGCAATAAATCATCGCTTGCTTCAGCAGGGGGGAGCTCGAAGCCTGGACGGGCGACCGGCTCATTTTTCTGATATCCCTGGTGCCTGCTGACACCGCGTTCGCCCGATGCGCTTGCACGCTTGTGCGCAGGAGCTGGGGGAATGATTATTTTTATCACGTGCGAAGGTCCTCTGAGGAAGTAAAGGGCGTTCTCATGACACGCCGAAGAAGTCGGACTAGCTCCGAACAAATCGAGATTTTTGGTATCTTCCTGAATGCCTGGAAGGCTCCAGGCAGTCAGGAAATTTTCGATCATCGAACTTCGAATCTAAATACATTGCCTGTCTCTCTCGATCGAGGAACTGAAACCTCGAACCTCAAGCGTGGAACCAAAATCGTCGGGTAGCTCGATGTACTTCGTAGGAAAACGCCGTCTGGGCGTTGTAGGGGCTCTTTTGGGCCGTTCTGGGGTCCTCCTGAGCCGTCCCAGGGCCTTCTTGGGCCGTCTTGGGGAGCTGGGGCCTCCAGAGGTCTTTTGAAGCCATCTAGGGCCCTCTCGGGGGCCCCCAATGGCCTTCTTGGGAGCCTTCTGGGGGCATCTTGGGTTTCTTGCAGGCAGTCTCGGGGCTCTCTGGGCCAGTCTTGGGGCCCTCTTGGGCCGTCTTCGAACCCTTGGGAGGGCCTCTTGGGGGGCCTATCGGGCCGCTTTGGACGCTGCGAATCCCCCAACAGCGGATATGTTGAACTTCGTACGTTTACGCGAAGGAATGGGACGATGTTTGCTTTTATCCGGGGTTTTCTTAACAGGCTCTTTGGGCGTCTCATGGGCTTCTTGGGCCGTCTTCAGACCATCGAGGTTCCTCTTGGAGCGCTCTGGTGCTGTCTCGGGTCTCTCTTGCGCCTCCCCGATGACCCCTCTGATCGCCTTGAGTCTGCTCACAAGGCCCGGCAAGGCGCCCCGGGAGGCCTGGAAGGGCCAGAGGACATTTTTTCCAAGCGCGTCCAGGGGGGCGCTGAAACGTCCGAAAGGGTGTCCAGGGCGTCCCTGGGGGGGGGGGGGGATCCTGTTTACGGGGAGGGGCGTGGGGGGGGGTCCGGGTAATAGAAATATAATCATGGGAATAGGAATAGTCAGTCAGGGGCCTGGGGGGTGCAGCTAGGGGGGGCGCACCTGGATCCCCAGACACCATCTGCGTGCTGCAGATTTTCTCTGGCCGCATCGATTCGTGAGGGCGCCGAGAACAAAAAAAACTACCTCCAGAGGTCTGGACCTCTTCCCCAGGACCGGTTTTTCATCCTGGGTAGTTTTTTTGACGGTCCCGAGGCAAGGTAAGGGCCCCAAGAGACCGAGACTTGGGAACAACCTCCTGCCGCGATTTGTTCGCCACGCGAGGGGCTCTGGGTTGGGGAGGCGCGCCCGTCGCCCCAGAACATCGACGTCCCGAGGCTCGTGCGCATTGAGTACCGGCACAGGTGCAGCCGCGGCGGCTGCTTCCGCCGGGCGGGCGGCGAGGCCGCCACCTGGGACGAGGCGCGGGTGCCGCGCGCCCCTCCGCGAGGGGTCTGCGGCGCGCGGGTACCTCGGCCCGGCGGGGGCCCATGGGAACCCCTCCTCCTCCTCCTCCTCCTCCTCTCCTCCTCCTCCTCCTCTCTCCTCCTCCTCCTCCTCCCTCCTCCCCTCCTCCCTCCTCCTCCTCCTCCTCCTCCTCCTTCTCCTCCCTCCTTCCTCTCCTCCTCCTCCTCCTCCTCCTCCTCCTCCTCCTCCTCCTCCCCCTCCTCATCCTCCTCCGCCCCCTGCATGGGATCGGCAGAGCGCGCCGCATCGCGGCTGCATCGGCGACGCGACGCGATGTGCGGCCCGACGTCTTCCACGCGGGCGTCGCCGCTGCAAGGCCGATGCATCGTCGATGCATCGTCGATGCACCGTCGATGCATCGTCGGTGCATCGGCGATGCGGTGCGATCCTCCGATCCCATCCCATCCACTTCGACCCCCATTGGGAGACGGAGCTGGGTGAGTGTGTCTGTGTGTGTGTGTGTGTGTCAGGCTGGGCGTTTTGCCCCGATCGCAGTCCTCGCGGGGGCCGCTGTCCCAGAGATCCAGCATATTGAAACAATCCAGTCGGAGGTTTTCGCCGATTTCGGCCTCCCAGGGTCCCTTGCCGGGCCCCAGGAACGCCCAACAGAGATTCGGTACGAGAGACCAGCCCTGGGGCATGGGTCGGGACTTCTGGGGGCCCCGTATGGAACGACGTCCACACGTCCAATCTCTGGCTTCGGGCCCTGGTGCCATCAGATCTGGACGCGGGAAGAACATCTCCTCCTCCCCCTCCTCCTCCTCCTCCTCCTCCTCCTCCTCCTCCTCCTCCTCCTCCTCTCTGCCCTGGGGGAGCGCCCCGAGACCTGCGCGCGATTTGTATACAAACCCGAGCGACCTCTCAGGGCCCAGGGGCCCGACGCCCGGGCGACACGGCCCGGCTTACAAGAGTGGAGACGTCGGGGCCTCGGCGGGGGGGGGGCGTCTGTCCAGGCCCCCAGGGCCGCGGCTTGGCCCAGAACCCGTCGTCGCGATGTCCTCGGTGGAGGAGGGGGGAGGAGAGGGAGGAGGAGGAGGAGGAGGAGGAGGAGGAGGAGGAGGAGGAGGAGGAGGAGGAGGAGGAGGAGGCCGAGGCCTGGTGCGGCCACCACGGGGGGATCCTGAAAAGGCTTGCCGACCTCGGGTGGCCCGATCGTGGAGCTCTGCCTGGGCCCAGGAGTTAGGGCCCTGGGACCCTGGCCCTGGTGGGGCCCGACAGGGGACACGTCCTGGCCAGGCTGGGACGTGCCTGGGGTTGCTCGGCCTGCGGGTTCCGCAGGGCTACCAGGGCCAGGGTCGTTTCCTGCACCTGTCCAGGCCTCCCGTGGCTGGTCGCCAAGTCCCACCCGTCCCACAGGCTCTGGGTGATTCGTGGCGGGGACGGGTCTCTTGGGAGCAGGCCCTTGGGACGGGTGGCGACACGCTGGTTTTCTGTAGGACGTGTGCTTCCTACGGGCGTAGGCAGGCGTACCTCCTCACCGAGTTGTGTGTTCCCCTGGCCAGGAAGAGCCGCGACGCGGCCAGACTGGCTCGGAAGGCCCTGGATCGCCTAAGAGCTGGTCGGGAGCCCCAGAGCGGGGCTCTCTGGGGTGCCCCTGTTCCTGTCTCGCGGGCTGCCACGGTGCCCGCTACGCGTGCGGACCCCAAGGCCCGTGTGGCCAGCGCGAAGAGCGAAGGCAATCGCGCCTCGGGGTCTGCGTGCGGGGGCGCCTCGCAGTTGCAAGCATTGTCTGGGCTTGCGGAGCCATAATGGCGGCTGTGCATGGCCCTTGGGACCCCGCCCGTGCCAGGCTCTCTCTTTCCTGGCGGGCCGAGGGGTGTCCTCAATTGCGGTGATCCCTGTTTGAGGGTGTAGGCGGGACTGCACAGCGGTCCGCCTCAGGTTAGGAACTAGAGGAACTAGAGGAGGAGGAGGAGGAGGAGGAGGAGGAGGAGGAGGAGGAGGAGGAGGAGGAGGAGGGAGGAGAGGAGGAGAGGGAGGAGGAGAGGGAGGAGGAGGAGGAGGAGGAGGAGGAGGAGGAGGAGGAGGAGGAGGAGGAGGAGGAGGAGGAGGAGGAGGAGGAGGAGGAGGGGGGGGAGGAGAGGGAGGAGGAGGAGGAGGAGGAGGACGAGGACCGTCGCACAGATGGGGAAAGGTTCGACTGTTAGCAGAACTGCTGCTGCTGCTGCTGCTGCTCCTCTTCCTCCCCCCCGCTCGGTTGGCCTGGGGAGTGGGCGGCAGCAGCCTCCTCCTGCTCGGCCATCTCTTGGGCTTGGCGCAGGAGGTACTGGTGGAGCGGCATGGGCCGCTCGTACTCGATGGGCGAATTCTTGGAACCTCTCGGATTCCTGCCTTCGAGCAAGAGGTTCCATTGTGTGCGGTCACCTGGTCTGACAAAATGTCCTGCACACACTGCACTGTGGGACCGCACATATGATTCAGCGAACTTCCCGCACCTCCGACAGACGACAATAAACGACCCCCCCCCCTATGCTGCTCGCAAATGAACAGCGAGTGCTCCTGCGGATTGCTGCACAGCTCCGCGAGCGCCTGAGAGTACCCAGGACATGTGCCTGGTTTCTTTGTTGCTGCCCTGCTGCGGCAGTCGATACACAAGAAACGCCTCCCTGAGGCCTCCCACCTGTGCCCCCGCGGCTCTCGTCGAGGCTGAACGGGGCGGGGGGCTGCGGGAGGAGGCGGCGGGGGCGGAGGGTGGAGCTGCTTCCAGATCTCTTGGCTGGAAGCCGCTCCGACAGGAGGGGAGGAAGATTTGACTGGCTTCTTGTAAGCCTTCTTGGTCACGCTGGGGCATATCGGCGGCCACTCCTGTAGGGCCTTGGCGACATACCTCAAATATGTACTGAGCAACTTGCACTGGGACTCGTGTTCCCTGGTTTCGGTCTCCGAGGGCCTGTTGAATTCCCGAGAAGCGATCCCCGCAAATCGGTCGGCCCCGTGGTTGCCCAGGGTGTCGGCCCACTCTGTCGAGCCGACAGGGTGGGCGTCTAAACTTTGATGCGCCTTGCCCTTGGAAAATCTGAGGTTATCATGCCATCCTATGGCTCCTCGCGCGAGCAGCCCAATTCCT